ATAAAATATCTTTTTCCATACCCTCACTTTCAGTCTGTTTGTGACTTTAGCTCTGAAGTGTGTCTCTTGGGAGCTGCATATTGGTTGATCTTTTTTTATATCCAATCATTCATCCTATATATTTTGATTAGAACATTTAATCTGTTGACATTTAAAGTGATTATTGGTAGACATGTAATTTTTCTCATTTTGTTATTTGTGTTTCTGTTTGCTTTTGTAGTTCATCTCTGTTCTTTTTGTCTCCTTTTATTTTCTTCCCTTGTGGTTTGAAGATTTTCTTTAGTGATAGGCTTGTGTTCCTTTCTCTTTAGTTTTTGTGTTTTTGATATGTAGTTACCATGGGGCTCATATATATTGACTTATTAGTATGTCTATGGGTTACCTGGTGGCTCAGTGATAAAGAATCCACCTGCCTGTGCAGGAGACATGGATTCAGTCCCTAGTTGGGAAGATCCCCTGGAGAAGCAGGGGCAACCCACTCCAGTATTCTTGCCTGGGAAATCCCATGGACAGAAGAGCCTGGTGGGCTACAGTCTATGAAGTCACAAAAGAGTTGGGCATGACTTAGCAAATAAACAACAATATAACTATATTTGCATGTATTAAAGTAGTAGCCATTTAAGTTCAAGCACTCTAAAAGATATACATTTTTATTTCACCCTACATGTTTTTAGTGTCATATTTTACATCTTCATATTCATTCCATCATTCTTTATTGATGAGCTCTTTTAGTTTTTTGCTTATTCTGTAAGTTTTTTATCTCTCTTTCAAATACAAATGATAATCTTGCTAGGTATATTATCCTGGGTTACTTTTTTTTTCTCTTTCAGCACTTTGAATGTATCATGTCATTCCCTTCTGTCCTCCAAAATTTCTGCAAAAAAAAAAAAAAAAATCAGCTGATAACCATATGTGAATTACTTTGTATATGACTTTATTTTTCTCTAGATGCCTTCAAAATTATCTCTTAAGCTTTAACTTTTGCCATTTTGGTTATGTTATGTCTTGGTATGGGTTTATTATGTTTGGGACCCCCTGTTCTTCCTGTACCTAGATATATGATTCCTCTTTCAGATTTGGGAAATTTTCAGCTATAATTTCACCAAATATATTTTTGACCTTTTTTTCTCTCTCTATCTTCTCTTTCTGGAACCCATATAAAGCAATTGTTGGTATGCTGAATGTTTTTTTTTCAGAGGTCCTGTGAATGATTCTCATTTTTTTATTTGTTTTTCTTATTGCTGTTCTAAATGGGTGATTTCCTTTTTTCTATATTCCAGATCTCATCCATTTCTCAGTGTCACCTAGTCTGTTGTTAATTCATTCTTGTGTGTTTTTCCTTTCAGTTAATATACTCTTCAGTTCTGACTCGTTCCTTTATTATTTTATAACTCCTTGTTAAAATTCTGTGTGTATTATTTTCCATAATTCTGTAAGCATTCTTATTGCTAATACTTTTATTTTGCTTAAAAGCATAGGCTCTTGGACTCTGAATCAGAAAGTTCTTGGAAATCATCTAGTGCAGAGAATGGCAAACTTTTTTCTGTAAAAGACTAAATATCTTAAGTATCTGTTGCTTACCAGGTCAAATACACAGTGTTCTCAACTGTTGAAAAAATTGTTCTCACTGATGAGATAATGGACTTTACATTTTACTTTTTATATAAAATGTGAGAAATTTATTTTGCTCTTAGGCCATACAAAAACATAGCGGGCTAGATTTGACCCATGGGCATAATTTGTTAGTCTCTCATCTTGTTCATCTCATCATAAACTGGGCTAGACTTAGGGTGCCTGTTGAAAATACTTGGATATTATGACATCTTTACTTGACTTTAATTTGTAATTGGAAAATCTTAGTAGTGATGCTTTCCCAAAGTAAGCCTCTAGTGAAATGTACAATGTACAATGATGGAACTACTTTGCAAACAGACCATTGAAGAGTCAAGTTCCATAAAGAGCGAGCCTTACTCCCTTTAAAAAATAAAGGAGTCCTTTGCCATGCTCCCCTATTCCCTTTAAACTCCTTACTTAAGTCCTAAAATCCTTAATACTCTGCATATCACAGATTTTTATTTTTTTCATGTAATTTTATTAAAGATTAACAATGATGGTTTTTGCTTTAAAAAACTGATTTTGAAGGGGAAAAGCTATATATGGAGTAAAATATAGGTCATTTTAGGTATTTTCTGCTAGATTTTTCCTTAACATAGTAGAATATTCTTTTGGAAAGAGGAGAAGCATGATGTATATATTTTCTCAGGAGTCTAGGCATACTAGTAACTCATACACATGAAAAGATGTTATCAACCTATGAAGGCAGATATTATTTGTTTAAATTTAGATAATGTCTGATTGAATAAAATTTGCTGTACTTTCCCTAACGCTTTTTGTCTTGACTTTCAAAATAATGAAAACTAGTGACAGAGCAATCATAATGGAAACCCATTACTATGATTTGAGAATAGAAGTCAAAGTAGTTCTGAATATTTGCACTTATAGATCAGTATTTAGAAGCACATGAAAATTGTTTGCTATATACCTCACTTAAGATGTGGAAGTATCAATATTTCTCATACTTTTGTTTATAAATAAAATCACCCTTCTTTTTAATATCTGTTAATAATTTATATTATTTGTCCTTATCTTTTATTTTGAATTAGTGTTTTCTCTTAAATACTATCTCATTTGAGCCTCACAATTATTGACTGGGACAGGAGATTCCAAAAATTTTATTATAATTAATTCTATAGTATGTTAAAACTTGAGTATTTTTTCTTATATTGTATTTAAATAACATGTTACAGTTTAAATCCATTATTTTTTACTCAAGTTTTGTTGAAGATGGAATATATCTCTTTAGTAGATAAAATTCATTTTGATCGTTTTTCAACTCTTCTTTTTCCTTTTCTTGGACTACTTCTTCACCTAAGTCTCACTTATTATGTGTGTTCTACTTTGAGGTTAACAATAATGTATTGTTTATTAACAATACATTATGTATTGTTATTAACAGCAGTTTTGATGTCTTATGAAGGACCTTTTCGTTATTTTGGTTTATTCTGCTAGAATTCTTTTTTTAACTAATTAATTTTAATTGGAGGGTAGTTACTTCATGATATTGTGATGGTTTTTGCCATATATCACCATGAATCAGCCACAGGTATACATGTGAACCCCCCATCCTAAACCCCCCCACCTCCCTCCCCACCCAATCCCTCTGGATTGTCCCAGGGTACCAGCTTTGGGTGCCCTGCTTCATGCATTGAACTTGCACTTTTCATCTATTTTACATATGGTAATGTATATGTTTCAATGCTATTCTCTCAAGGAACAGACCCCACTCATACTGGCTTAAACAAAAAATGGGCCAAAGGACTAAACAGACATTTCTCCAAAGAAGACATACAAATGGCTAACAAACACATGAAAAGATGCTCAACATCACTCATTATCAGAGAAATGCAAATCAAAACCACAATGAGGTACCATCTCACGCTGGTCAGAATGGCTGCTATAAAAAAATCCACAAACAATAAATGCTGGAGAGGGCACTGTTGGTGGGAATGTAAACTAGTACAGCCACTATGGAGAACAGTGTGGAGATTCCTTTAAAAATTGGAAATAGAACTGCCATACGACCCAGCAATCCCACTGCTGGGCATAGACACCAAGGAAACTAGATTTGAAAGAGACACGTGTCCCCCAATGTTCATCGCAGCACTGTTTACAATAGCCAGGACATGGAAGCAACCTAGATGTCTATCGGCAAATGAATGAATAAGAAAGGTGTGGTACATATACACAGTGGAATATTACTCAACTATTAAAAAGAATGCATTTTAATCAATTCTAATAAGGTGGATGAAACTGGATCCTATTATACAGAGTGAAGTAAGTCAGAAGGAAAAACACCAATACAGTATATTCATGCATATATATGGAATTTAGAGAGATGGTAATGATGACCCCATATGCGAGACAGCAAAAGAGACACAGAGATAAAAACAGACTTTTGGACTCTGTGAGAGAAGGTGAATATGAGATGATTTGAGAGAATAGCATTGAAACATGTCTATTACCATATGTGAAATAGATCACCAGTCTAAGTTCAATGCATGAAACAGGGCATTCAAAGCTGGTGCACTGGGACAACCCAGAGGGATGGGATGGGGAAGGAGGTGGGTGGGGAATTTGGGATGGAGGACACATGTACACCTATGACTGATTCATGTCAATGTATGGCCAAAACCACCACGATATTGTAAAGTATTTAGCCTCCAATTAAAATAAATAATTTTTTAAAAAAGAAGCATGGTAAAAACATTAAGTCAAAGATCTTGATTACCTTAGAAAGCTCAAGGGCAGAAAGTAAACTTACTACTTAGTAGGAACTGGAATTAGGAGCTCAGGTAGAAAATATATCCATATGTTTCTCTAGAGGCATATGATCCCTTGTTTATGCTTCCTTAATGTATTGATATTTCATTATTTATACTCTCTACATTGTTTTGGTTTTTTTGTTTGGTTTTTTTTTTTTTTTTTTTTGCTTCTCTAGGCATATGCCAGACATTACTTCTTCATACTGCCCATGATTGCCTGTCCTTATTTCAAGCAACCAGCAGGGGAAAAAGAAGAACTATTCTGAATTCTAACTCAAACTCTGCAGGAAAAAATCTTATTGCCCCAATTTGCGTCAAACGCCAATTACTCCAAGGCAACATAGCACCAATGAGGCATTTGGGGATGGACATTAGTTTATGGAAAAGTAGAGGCTAGGAAGATATCTCACAATGTGTCTATCGTATTTTCTTTTATACTTAAATGCTATTTCTGAAGTTTTATTTTGAAAAATGTTCTCATTATAACTTTCCCTTAAACACAAGTATAGATAATGAAGTGACACCCTTCCTACAATCAAAATACCTAAATGTGCTATGTTTCACATTAAATGTAACTAAGAAATTGTAACTTTGTTTATGATTTATTTTGCTTTGCAGCCAAAAACTGCAACTAATTCATCCATTGAACATATATTTCCCCTTCAAGATGTGTCCCTTCCAAATGAAACAGTACCTAATAGATTTGAATATTTTTCTCTAGAAAATCTCTGCACTCAAAGGTAAGTTTCACTGATAATAAGTCTATATACATGTAGTCTTAACTTGGAATAGAATATAGAAATAGTAATTTTTTTCTACCACATTTTAGCATAATATTCAGTTTTCAAAATAATGATGCACTGACTGGATAAAGACAAAAAAATAGTACATTGTAAGGAAGTATCATATTCAGGTGAATACTTTCAGGTGCACTGAAAAATAGTTAATATGAAGGTAAATGCAAATGAATGTAAAATCTACCTACACTGATTTTCTTCTGATTTGTTCACAAGAAGCATAATGATGTCACATGCTTTCTAAAGTCTGATAGGTATATGTACTTTATAATATTCCCCTACAGAAGACTTTTCAACAGAGAAATAATGTGTTTGCCAACATTTGATTAATATTTTTAAGTATTCATATTTGTCTTTTCTTTAAGTAATGAAGGAGCAGTTGTCATGCCACATGATGAAGGAAGCACATCTGAAACAGAAGTTTCTGATACAGACGTTTCTGACAATTCAACCAGTTATTTTGACTATAAAAATCTCCAAGACCTATTGATAATTGAAAGTGATGCCCCTCTGCTGACTTCTGGCTCTGAAAGCTGTGTGATTGATTCTGACTCTGACAGAGGCATTGGTATGGACTCTGACTTAGAACAGCACTCAAAAGATTCAGACTCAATAACATGGGGAATGGACTCAGATTCAGAAAAATGTCCCATTGACCCGGACTCTCAGAAACACCTGCTGGAAGCAGAAAAATTCCAGATGGCATCAAACCTAGAGCAACACCTAGTTGGAATTGAACAATGCCAGCTGGAATTTGACTCTCTGAAACACCATATGGACCCAGATTCAGAAAAAAGCCTGGCAGACTCTGATTCTGAAAAATATGTGATGGCTTCTGACAATGAAAGACCCAGGATAGACCCAGACTCAAAAAAATACCCCATGGCTTCTGCATCTGTGAAACACCTGCTGAAGGCAGAAAAATGCCAAATGGCCTCAGATTCTATAAAACGCTTCATGGAGTCTGAAAAAAAAATAATGGAGACTGAACAACACTGGCTAATCTCTGCATCTGAGAGATATGTGATGGACTCATACATGGAAAGGGATGCAATAGACTCAGACTCTGCATCTGGGATATATCTAATGGGGGAAGGAAAACACCAGAAGATTAGATCTGAGAGACATATAATGGACTCTGACTTTGAACCATGTAGGATGGACTCAGACTCAAGAAGATATGAGCTAGCCTCAGCCTCGGTGAAATGCCTCATGAATGCTAACACAGTCCAGTTGAGCACTGAAACTGAGAGGCATTATGTAGATTCTTGGTCTGTTAGACACACAATGGACTTGGATTCTGAAATCCTGGATATGAGCTCTGATTCAGTGAATCCCATAATGAAGGCTGAAAATTGCCAAAGAGCCTCTGACTTGGAAAGATTCTGGATGGGCCTTGGGTATGAATCTGAAAGATACGTGACTAGCTCTGAAAGACAACAGTTGAACTTTGACTGTAGTAGATGCTGGAACAGCTCTAGAAAATACCAACACAGATCTTCAGGACTTCAGGATAGCTCCGGAAGATGTCAAGAAGGCCTTCAAAAGCACTGGGGTAAGTTTGAAAGACATCAAATAGACTCTGATTCTGAAAAACATGGAACAGATTTTGAAAATGAAAGATATCAAAATGAATTTGAAAGTGAAAGACATATACACATGATTGAGATGGAACAGTCTCTGTTGCACTCTGAAAATGAGAGACTTCAAATGGATGAAGAAGGGGAGAAATACTTCATAAAGTCTGATGGTGAAAAAGAGCACAAGATCATATCTGACAATGAAAGACACGGCCTTGACTCAGAAGATGAAGCACAACGGCTTGGTGCTCGCAGAAAAGCTAACCGTCCTCAGGGTAAGCTTAAATGTATCTGGCCTTTGAAATCAGCTTGTTTTCAAGTTTAATTAATAATATGATGACACTTACAAAATGGTAGTTGCTTTAGCAGATTTGGGCCTGAGGTTATTTCATCAGAAATTCAGAAAAAAAGGCATCTTAATCCTAGATTTTCAATTCACTTTGGAAAATAAGGCAAATCATCTGTTTTTAGTTATTAATTTGATCATGCTATGTTAAAAGAAGGAAAATTAAAGAATTATTAACAAAAGTGGTTATTCTAGCCTAGGAAACAGCATGTTGAATTTAGCTTCCATGAATCTAGAATGAGTGAATAAAGATTATTCATAAACTTTTTCCAATTATTAGTTACTGTGTAAAGGAAAGCCTAACTATAAATATTCAATGTATCATGCTTCTCTCAAAGTTATTATTAAAGCTTCATAAATTTTAATAGTTGGAATTAACCTTGTTAGTCATATTTACTTTATCACACTAAATCATTATAATTCTCCATTTCCTAAGCCATTTTATTAAGGTATGCTTATTATGATAAACTTATCATCTCATAGATATTTTTCATCATATTAGTCATTTTCTATTGAGTGTGAAAACATGTGAAGTGAAAACAAAGAATTTGTCCCCAAACATTTTTTTAGGATATTTAAGTACCTTTATTTAAGAGAAAATATCATTGTGCTCAAATTACAAATCCAATATTAGCAGCAGAAGAAATTCTTTACTTTCTTTTACTGATTTTTTTGCAGCATTTGCTTTATCAGTACACTTCTTCAGTCATGTTTGAGGGGTTTCCTACTGTATATTATTATAGGACTTCCCACATGGCTCAAGAGGTAAAGAATCTGCCTCCAATACAGGAAACACAGGAGACTTGGGTTGAATCCTGGGTCAAGAAGATCCTGTGGAGGAGGGCACGGCAACCCACTCCACTATCCTTGCCTGAGGAATGCCATGGACAGAGAAGCCTGGCAGGCTACAGTCCATAGAGTCACAAAGAGTTGGACACGCCTGAAGTGACTGAGCATGCACACATACATTGTCATTATATTTCCTCAGAAAAAAGGAAGGAAAACCAAGAGTTTATTCCACTTTAAGAAAATAAATTAGTGATAATTTTATACTGATGCCCATGGTTTGGATATAAAATTAATTTGATGCTTACACTGAAATGCTAGGAAAACATAAAGCAGTATATGATGAGTGACATTAGCTCCCAGCTCCTGTACGCCACTCCAACATTCTCAAGAGAAGATAAATAAGTTAAAGTTTCTCCTTCATGATGGAGAGAGATTCTGTTAAGAAGTGAATGATCCCTGATCCTTGAGGACTTTTTAAATTTAGAGTTTATTTACTTGTCTACAATATAGCAATTAATTTTTAAAAATTTTTATATCTTGTGACAATAAAAAATGACTAAAAATTATTGCTTGTCATCAAAATTCCCAATAGTATAATTTTAATTTTATGTGATTGAATTTTTAGACCTCATTTATTGTGTTTTAATGGGATTTTATTTTTTAAATTTATTTTTAATTGGAGTAAAATTGCTTTACAATGTTGTAATGGTTTCTGCTGTACAACAACACAAATAAACCAAGTTATATTTACATCACCTTCCTCTTCAGCCTCCATCCTCTCCCTCATCCCACCCCTCTAGATCACCACAGAGTGCATAGCTGGGCTCCCTGTGTTAAACAGCAAATTCTCACCAGCTATCTGTTTTACACTTGGTAGTGTATATATGTCTAGGTTACTTTCTCTATCCATCCTACTCTTTCCTTCCCCACTGTGTCCACAGGTTCATTCTCTACATATGCATCTCCATTCCTTCTCTGCAAATAGGTTCATCAATGCCATTATTCTAGATTCCTTATATATTCATTAATATACCATATTTGTTTTTTCTCTTTCTGACTTACTTCACTCTGTATGACAAGCTCTAGGTTCATCCACCTCACTAGAACTGACTCAAATATGTTCTTTTTTATGGCTGAGTAATATTGCATTGAATATATATACCACAAATTATTTATGCATTCATATATCAATGAACATATGAGTTGCTTTCATATCCTAGCTATGTAAATAGTGCTCTTATGAACATTGGGGTACATGGACCTTTTTCAATTATGATTTTTTTCAGTATATATGCCCTTTACATTCCATTCATGGAGTTCGCAAGGCAAGAATACTGACATGGTTTGCCATTCTTCTCCAGCAGACCTCCAGTTTTTCAGGCTCTATCAGGAACATGCCCTTCAGCTGCTCCATGTAACTGGATATGCCCAGTGCACTGGTTGTCCCGCTGCTGGTCTTTGGCATCTGGTCCCACTGTGTGTGTGTGCTAAGTCGCTTCAGTTGTGGCTGACTCTGTACAACTCTTTGGACTCTAGCCAACCAGGCTCCTCTTTCCATGGGATTCTCCAGGCAAGAATACTGGAGTGGATTGCCATGCCCTCCTCCAGAGGATCTTCACGACCCATGGATCGAACCCATGTCTCACATCTCCTGCATTGGCAGGCAGGTTCTTTACCACTAGCACCACCTGGAAAGCCCATCCGGTCCCATCACTTCATGGCAAATAAATGGGGAAAAAGTAGAAAAAGTAACAGATTTTATTTTCTTGGAATCCAAAATCCCTGTGGAAAGTGACTGCAGCGACAAAAATAAAAGACGCTTGTTTCTCGGAAAAGCTATGACAAACCTAGGTGGTATATTAAAAAGCAGAGTCATCACTTTGCCAAAAAAGATCTGTATAGTCAAAGCTATGTTTTTTCCAGTAGTCATGTATGAATTTGAGAGTTGGACCATAAAGAAAGCTGAGGGCTGAAGAATTAATTCTTTCAAACTGTGGTGCTGGAGAAGACTCTTGAGACTCCCCTGAACAGCAAGGAAATCAAACCTGTCAGTCCTAAAGGAAACCAACCCTGAATATTCATTGGAAGGACTGATGCTGAGGCTGAAGCTCCAGTACTTTGGCTACCTGATGCAAAGGGCTGACCCATTGGAAAAGACCCTGATGCTGGCAACAGGAGAAGGTGGGGACAGAGGATAAGATGGTTGGATGAAATTACTGACTCAATGGACATGAGATTGAGTAAACACAGGGAGATAGTGAAGGACAGAGGAGCTTGGCATGCTGCAATTCATGGGTTCACAAAGAGTTGGATATGACTTAGTGACTGAAAAATAACAGGCTATATGCCCAGTCGTGAGATTGCTGGGTCATATGGTAGTTTTAATCCTAGCTTTTTAGGGAATCTCCATACTGTTCTCCATAGTGGCTGTATCAATTTATATTCCCACCAACAGTGCAAGAGTGTTCCCTTTCCTCCACATCCTCTCCAGCACTTTTTGTCTGTAGATTTTATTTGATGATGGCCTTCTGACTGGTATGACATAATCTCATTGCAGTTTTGATTTACATTTCTCTAATAATTAGAGGTGTTGAGCATCTTTTCATGTGTCTATTGGTCATTTGTATGTCTTCTTTAGGGAAATGTCTGTTTAGGTCTTCTACTAATTTTTTGATTCAGCTATTTGTTTTCTTGATATTGAGCTGTATGAGCTGCTTATATATTTTTGAGAATAAGCCTTCATCAGTTTTTTTTTTTGTTTGCAATTATTTTCTCCCATCCTCGGGTCTGTCTTTTAGTCATTTATTGTTTCCTTTTCTGTGCAAAAGCTTTTAAATCCCATTTGTTTATTTTTGTTTTTATTTCCATTACTTTAAGAGGTAAGTCAAAGAGGATCTTGCTTTGATTTATGTCAGAATGTACTGCCTGTGACTTTCTCTAAGAGCTTTATAGTTCCTGGCCTTATATTTAAGTGTTTAATCCATTTTGAGTTTATTTTTGTATATGATGTTAGGAAGTGTTCCAGTTTCATTCTTTTACATGTAGCTGTCTAGTTTTCCCAGCAACACTTATTGGAAAGGAGGTCTTTTCTCCATTGTATATTCTCAGCTCTTTTGTCAATGATAAGGTGCCCACTAGTGTGGGCTTATCTCTGGGCTTTCTATCTCTTTCCATTGGTCTATATTTCTGTTTTTTTTTTTTCTTTGCCATTACCATACTGTCTTGATGACTGTAGCACTGTGGTATAGTCTAAGTTAGGAAGGTTGATTCCTCCAGCCCCATTTTTCTTTCTCAAGGTTGCTTTGGCTATCCATGGTCTTTTGTGTTTCCATACAAATTGTGAAATTTGTTGTTATAGTTCTGTTAAAAATACCATTTGTAGTTTGATAGAGATTGCATTGAATCTGTAGATTGCTTTGGATAGTATAGGCATTTTCACAATATAATTCTTCCAATCCAAGACCATAGTCTATTTCTCCATCTGTTGGTGTCATGTTTAATTTCTTCCATCAGTGTCTTATAGTTGTCTGCATACAGGTCCTTTGTCCCTTCAGGTAGATTTATTCCTAGTGTTTTAATTTTTGTTGCAATGGTGAATGGGATTGTTTGTTTAATTTCTCTTTCTGATTTTTCATTGTTACTATCTAGGAATGCAAAGGAATTCTGTGTATTAATTTTATATCCTGCCACTTTGCTACATTCATTGATTAGCTCTAGTAATTTTGTCATGACATCTTTAAGGTTTTTTTCTCTAGTATCATATCATCTGCAAACAGGGCTTCCCAGGTGCCTCACTGATAAAGAATTCACATGCCAATGTAGGAAATGCAGGAGACATGGGTTCGATCCTTGAGTCAGGAAGATCTCCTGTAGTAAGAAATTGCAACCCACTCCAGTATTACTGCCTGGAAAATTCCATGGACAGAGAAGCCTGGCAGGCTACCATCCATGGGATCACAAAGAGTTTGAGAGGATGAAGCAACTGATCATACATGCATCTGCAAACTTAGAGTTTTACTTCTTCTTTTCCAATATGGATTCCTTTTATTTGTTTTCTTCTCTGATTGCTGTGTCTAGTGCTTCCAAAATTACATTGAATAATAGTGATGAGAGTGGGCACCCTTGTCTTATTCCTGATAT